AATTTCCTCACGGAAACTTCACTTGCAGAAACAGGTGGCCAGCTCATGAGCCATGGTTTGCCAATTTGATTGTTTAAAAACATTGTTCAAAAATATGATTTATCTTGATTACTAAGTGTTTTGGCACCCCATAAATTTTGTACTTTAAGTGAGTACCTCACAGCCCTCACCAGTCCTGGCCTTGCTTGGTGTTCTCTTTCCTGGAGACTCACTAGGTTCATTTCACAGTGAGTACGAACCTCATGTGCTGGTCTGATATCACTTTACCGCATGGTGCCACCCATTTTCTGAGAAGCTGTTTATTCTCTGCCAACCTAAAAATGTCTTCATGTAAATCTTCCTGAGTGAGTGAGGAGAAAAAGAGAGGTGGGGGGAAAGGTTCAAAAGCAAAGAAAACAAGAAGGAAGTGACCAGTGCTCAGTGAACCCACACGTGTGAAAGGCTAATCCAGAAATCACTCAGTAATCACCACCATGAAAGTAGACCAGGGTGACATGGCTGGTTACACACATGCTCACCTTCCCCGCCTCCCACAAGGCCTCACTTCCTAAACCAAAGTGACCTTCTGGAATCTGGCCTCTCTCCCTCAGCTCTTGACCCCTCCTATGCAACAGCTTCTACACACCATTAGCTTCCTTCCAAAGTCCCCACTGGCTTCTCATCCAAAGCAATACGATTTTTTCTGTTTTCGAGAGAAGGGCACTGGCCCATGTGTCCAGTGAACAAAGGCTGGAGTGCAGTTAGAACCTCCGAGGCATTTACGCATTACATAGGGCAGTCTGAAAGAAGGAGGAGGTTTCAGGCAAAACAGTGCTTGGAACTCGGCTGCACTCAATGTTCAGAAGCGCTCATGGGTCAGTCACGCTCAGAGGAACAGTGTTGAAAGAATGATTATGTTTTAAGACAGTCTGGCTGTCAACCAAATAACATATTACTGCCTATTGCCAAGTCACGCACTTTTGCTGATTGGTGAATTTTTAAGAATTATAATAAGGAACAAATAAACTGGTTTAAAAGCAGGACATTTCCTAGATGGATCTCTTAACCATCTGAGCCACCCAGGCGCCCCTAGATGGATCTCTTGATGGGGCATTGGGACAGGAGGACTATGGCTTGACTTCTACTGGGCCCCAGAATATTTCTCTATCGAAGGTGGGCCTCTGTCCACACTTTTCCGGGACATTCTTTTTCCTATCAGTCCTGAGCTGTCTGTATGAACTTAGGTGACTCAGAAACCTCTTTCTCAGGTTCTCCACCTTTTAAATGAAGTCACTGTTATTGGCCCCTCATTCTCACACTCAGCCCTGGGAGTGGTGAGGTGGACAAGAACAGGAACATTGGCCTGAGGGTCGAGGCAGACCTAGAAGGTAAGGCAGAACGTAAGGAAGCCCAGCCAAAGGCTCAAAGGTCTCCTGAAACTGACTCTTTAAGGTGATGTTTTGGTGTGGGACTGGCTCTTTACTGAGTTCTTTTCATTTTCCCCCAACCCTGAGGATGTGGCCTGCTCTTCTCTTCTGTCATTACAACTGGCCTTCTGCTTGGGGTTCTGCCCCTTCCAGACTGATGAAGACCAGGGCACTTTCCCTCAATGTTTGTGCTATTTTTTGAGGCATTAAAGGGGAATCATGCTCAGAGAGCAGTAATGATGTGCTTCAGGACTGAGGCAGAGTCAGAGTAAAAATATATATAATTATGTAATAACTTATATATTTAATAATAATAACACAAACAGGCGAACATAACTTCAACATTAATCTTTCACAAGGATGTCTGAACCATCATGAAGGAGACACGTGGTTTCCAGCCATACTTCATATTTCCATATTGATTTTTTTCCCTTTCTCATCTGTTTTCTTCGTAAACTACAGATCCTCCTGTACTTTCTCCTTGATGCCTCACCTCACCCCAGATAAACTCCTCAACTATTCTGAGCCCAGGATCTTGCTCTTTATTTTATATAAAGTAACTAAGTCTTTTCATCCTCCTGCTAGCTCCTGGATCTCGCTCTTTCCTACCCAATTTCTCACCAAAACAAACAAAAAACCACCACCAATTAAAAAAAAAAAAATGCACTGCTCTGGAATGACAGGTAATGACCTCCATAAAGGGTATTGGAGGGGGAGAACCCATCTGACAAACTGTAGGGCACTGGTTATCCTTCACTGGAACTGGAGGAGGGAAAGGACAGAGATACGGACTTGCTCAAAGACTTGTGTGCTCACAAGAACTAGGCTCGACCTCTCATAATGCCCAGTCTGGTTCATCTTCCGGTTTTGGTTTAAAACAAAGAAGCCCAACCCTATGGGTGGGCAGTCCTCATCAGGAGTGCTACCCTCCTTATTCTCTTCCTCCACCTACCTGCTCTTGGGACCCAACTCCTGGTGCAGACCTTTCAGTTGGAAATACTGGGTCATTCTCAGCTATTTGGAATTACAGCATTAATGACAATAACAGTAATGGTAAGCATGACTATAGCTGACCTTCACTGGACGAGTTCTATAGGCCAGATACTACGCAAACACTTAACCCCAATTGTCCCCTTTGGTTTCCAAGTCCCAAGGAGCTGTTTGGGTTATCTATTGCTGCCTAACAAATTGCCACAAAACATAGCAACTTAAAACAATGCACACCCATCATCTCACAATTTCTGTGGGACAGGAATCTGGGCATGACATAGCTGGGTCCTTGACTTCGAGGTCTCTCAAGCAAGCTATCGCTTCGGGTATAGTCATCTCAAGGCTCAACTGGGCAAGGATTTGATTTCAAGTTCCCATGATCGTTGGCAGGAAGCAGTTCCTCACTGGCTGATGGACTAAGGTCCTCAGTTCTTCACTGACTCTTGGCCACAAGCTGCCCTTAGTTCCTTGTCATATGGGCCTCTCTAATATGACAGCTTCCTTCTTCAAAGGGTATGAGCCATGAGGACAATAGGAAGAGTCTGCTAGTGAGACAAAGCTACAATCTTTTGCAACCTAATCACAGAAGTGACATTCCACCATATTCTACTGGTTAGAATCAAGTAACTATATCTAGCCTACTCTCAATATGTCCAGCCTGCATTCCAGGGGACACAGATACCAGAAGGCAGCGATCATCAGGGGCCATCTTAGAAATCTGAAAATCTCAAGACCAATTGGAAAAGGAGGGGGAAATGGTTGTTTTCAGATTGCAAGGATAATATCAAGACAAGATGAAAGTGCATCAGGGTAGGTATTGAAGCTAATAAAGGTAGAGGTTAGAAGGCGAAATAGGGAAGTGCCTTATATCATTTTTGATCTAGTGTCTTTCTCTCTCTCTTAGCCCATAACACGAAGGTAGAGCTAACAAGATGGTGAGAATAAGGCCAAAGGGGGTACATGGCACCACCAGGGCACCGCACAAAGAATTCCTTTTTCCGTCGGGAAAGTAAACGGAATAATAGCAGTGGAGTAGTGGGGTAGAGGAGTGGCAAAGAGGGACTGAAGATAATCTCTCTGCACAAAAGTGACCCAGAGTCCCTGCGGGCAGGAGAATTTCGGCAGGGACATGCCAAAACATCACATTAAAAAAAGGGAAGGAATCAGGGCATGAACCAGATCTGGAATAGGGTGTCTATAACCAAAGACAGTCAAGATGAAGGAAACAAATTCCAGACAGGAAACAGAAGGTGGTTCTGTAAAGACTTTTTTGAGGCAATGCTGCAGAGAAGCAGATGGTGCAGGGAAGAGGGCAGGGAACATTTTTCTAGCGGCAGCTACCAAAACAAATTTCACTTCAGATGTGTTTTCTGAGGGGGAAAGATTTGTAGGACTTGTCAGAGCTTTTAATATGCTAGTGTGCCTCATGCAACTCCAAGGTGTGTGTGAGGGAGGGTGGGGATTGAATAGGTGGTGTTTCTCACATATGTGTTGATTTGTTTTGCTTGGAGGTGGAAACATGCTACACATTTTAGGGAATGCTCTTTCATTAAATACCTGTGCTTTTCGTGAGAGCAGGAAAGGTAAGCCAAGAATGGTTGCCAGCAGTTGAGCAATAAGCAAAAATTTTTATCGAACACCTATGTGTTAACCAGAAATGACTCTAGGATCTCAACATCTGGGCCCAACAATGGAAAAGATACAAAACCAGGATCAGAGAAGTCACCAGATCATCGTTTTTTTTTTTTTTTTTTTAAGATTTTTATTTATTTAAGAGAGAGAGAGTGAGCACGAGCGAGCACGAGCTGGGGGAAGGGGCAGAGGGAGGAACAGAGTCCCTCCTGAAAACAGAGCCCAACACATGCTTCCATCCCAGGACCCTAGGATCATGACCTGAGCCCAAGGCAGACGCTTAACCGACTGAGCCACCCAGGCGCCCCCAGATCATTGTCTTTTGCAAACATCCCAGAAATCCCCACCCCAAATTCCTGAAACTCTCTTACAATCCTTCTCTACAGAATTCTCTTTCCTCCTCCTGTGGATGCTCATTTCCTTATCAACAGAGAAGGAATCAGAGAGTTCACCCCATGAGCTTTTCTCTTGGAACTTTTTCAGTAACATAGGGTGAAGGCAATAGAGTTCCACTGAGAGAAGCAAGATGAACTTGTTAGGAGCTTTAAAAATGTCTTTCGTACAGAGAAAGAAGAAATCAGTAAAGGATCCCTTGCCAAACCACAAAGAAGATAGCTAGTTCATAAAGAAACACTAATTTCTCTAGCATTAGTGGGGAATTACCCACCATGGGGATTAAGAGATGAGTGCCCTTTTAATCAAAGGATGAGAGACCCTCCCTCAAATAACTGGGGTTGGCTAAGGGTCCCACCCAGCTCAGAAGAGCAAGCCCGCAATGAGAAGCCATTCCTTCCTGCATTACACAATGCTGTGTTTTTAGGTTAATCCTCCAAGGATATTACGGTAACTTCCAATGGTTAATGAATAGCTTCTAAGTGCCTGCTTCACTTAATTGTCCAAAGGCCAGTTGGTCCCAGAGCATATAAAGCTTTGAGCTGGCTAATGACAGCATTCTCTCTGAGCGAGGAAGCAGGGGAGTGGAAGAGTTCCAAAGGAGCAGGGATGCAGAACAGAACTAGTCTCGTTCTCTGTGCCCTTGCTCTCCTGATGGGCTTCCTGATGATCTGCCTGGGGGCCTTCTTCATTTCCTCAGGATCAATATTCAACTGTCGAGGGAAACTGATCCTGGCCTATATGCTTCTGCCACTGGGGTTTGTGATCCTTCTGAGTGGAATTTTCTGGAGCACCTACCGCCAGGCAAGGGAAAGCAAAGGGGTGTTCACCCATGTGCTCAGAAGACACCTTTCTCATGGGGCACTTCCCCTGGCCACAGTTGACAGGTATGTACGGGGAGGCCAGAGGATGAGGAAGGCTGCAATGGGGCCGGATTCTGGAAAAGCAGAATGAACTTAATCCCACTGTGGAGAAATACCCATGTCCTGCGGGGCTGTATGTCTCGAACTGAAGTTTTCCTGTTGGGAAATTACTCTGGGCTTAGTCCTTAGGAGGAATGGTGTTCCCTCTGGAGAAAACCATGAAGTAGAGGGTATTTAGATCTGAAAAACCACTTCTCCCCCCATTGAAAACCTACCTAAGCCAATAGAAGAGGCCCAACTCTTAGGTTCTTTTTTTGTATCATGGAAGCTGTCCTTAGAGGCAGGTTGTGGTGAGTTATCGCCCATAATCCGGCTACCAGGTTATAAGGAAAGGAAGTTCCAGACCAAATTCTGCCATACAAATGGCATTGTATGAACAAACAGGCATTGAATGAGTCCTGCAACCTCTTCATGAACTCAGTGAGGTCCCAGCTTACCGTCTTTCTAGGTGTTCTGATCACACCTTGCATGACAGATTTATTCAAGGCAAGGCAGTTAACATTCCAGTGGTAATTCAGTTAACCTTACCACCTCATACCCATTATGATGGCTCTTACTTATAAAAACACACAGAAAACAACAAGTGTCAGCAAGAATATACAAAAATCCGAAACCTAGGGGAGACCAGGTGGCTCAGTTGGTTAAGCATCTGCCTTTGGTCATGATCTCGGGGTCATGGGATCGAGCTCTGCATCGGGCTCCCTGCTCAGCTGGGAGTCTGCTTCTCCCTCTGTCACCCTCCCCCTCCCCACCGCTTGTGCTCTCTCTGGCTCTCTCTCTGTCTGAAATAAATAAATAAAATCTTAAAAAAAAAAAAAGTCCGAAACCTTGTGCACTGCTGGTGGGAATGTAAAATGCAGCAATCATTTTATGGAAAATTGCATGGAGATTAAATACAGAATTACCATTCGATCCAGCAATTCTACTTCTGGGTATGTAGACAAAAGAATTAAAAGTGGGAACTTGAACAGATAGTCAGTCGTACACCAGTGTTCATAGCAGTATTCTTCATGATAGCCAAAAGATGGAGACAACCCGAATGTCCGCCAGTGGACGAAGGGATAAACAAAGCGTGGTCTATCCATACAATGGAATATTATTCGGCCACAAAAAGAAGGACGTTCTGACACGTGCTAGAGCATGGATGAACCCTGAAAACATTATACTAAGTAAAAGAAGCCATTCACAAAAAGACAAATACTGTACGATTCCACTTACATGAGATATCCAGAGCAGTGAAATTAATTCATAGTCAGAAAGTGAACAGTGGTTATCGGGGTCAGCGGGGAGGAGGGAATGGGGACTCATTGTTTACTGAGTACAGAGTTTCAATTTGGGATGATGGGAAAGTTCTGGAGAGGGTTAAGTTACCGAATGCCACTGATCTGTACACTGATCTATACACAGTGGTAAATCTAATGTTACATATATTTCACTACAATAAAACAAAATTCAGTTCACCTTATGGTCAGTATCAGACAGCCAAACACTCCTAATTCTTGGCTGAACACAGGACCATTTAGGGATAAAACTTCAGGCATCATCCTCAAGACACAGGCTATAAGACTCCATAAATTCTTCTGCCCTCTACATCTAAAATATCTTAGGTAATCCACGTATCTTGAATATAAAAAATTTTACCCATGACGGTTGATTTTTGACATTATTATGCTAATTAATAAGATGCTAATTATAATAACCAAACCCCATTTCCAATGTTTATTATACTAACTGGCAAGGTCTCTGGGTTTGATAAAAGATTAAGATAACTAAAGTGATCACGGATGGTGCTTCTTGAGTGATGATTTTTTTTTTCTTGTACAAATGTTAGATGGTTGCCTCCAGAGTGTGAATTCCTGATAAGAGTAACTGATTGCAGGGACGCCTGGGTGGTTCAGTCGGTTAAGCATCTGCCTTTGGCGAAGGTCATGATCCCAGGGTCCTGGGATTGACCCCTCTGTCAGGCTCCTTGCTCAGTGGGGAGTCTGCTTCTTCCTTTCCCTCTGCCTGCCGCTCCCCCTGCTTGTGTTCTCTGTCAAATAAATAAATAAAATCTTTTCAAAAAGAAAAGTAACTGATTGCCTACAGGAGGCAGCTTAAATTTACTAACATCACACCATGCCAAGCTATTTCAAAGGGATCCATGATATGGCTATCGTGACACCCCATTGAACTGTCTCTTCCTATTGCATCTAATAGATGCCCAACCTACCCAGAATGGCCAGGAAGTCAGTCAAGAAAAAGTTGCATTTCTCAGAAGCATATGCATTCAAAATGGGGACCCATATTGAGGTGTCAGAGCAAATGAGTGTGCAATGGTGGACCTCAGGGCACTGGGAATGTGAACCGGTGGGGGGGCAGATGGGACTGGAGGAGCCGGATGGGATTTGGGGGCAGGTGGCCGTCATCCTGGAGCCTTTCAAATCACTCCAGGGAAACAGCTCACCTTTCTGTCTTCAATGTCTTTACAAGGGTGCCCCGTGACACTGCCTTGGCTATTCTGAGTGAAGGCTGAGATTTATGCCATACAGTAGACCACTCCTTCAGCTATCTGGCTTTGCGCCTGGTAATATTTGGAATGGAGCTGTGGCTACAAGTGGCGGCCTCTGTTCTGTTGTGGTTACACACCATAAACACTCCCCGTGGGCACTGAGGGATTCGCTCTATAAATGCACAACTCAATCAAGCTCGCCTTCACTCTTCCTCACCTCACACCACCCCCGGTCCCATTCATGGTGGAGAAGCCAGAAGGATTTAGTAATTAGCAACACTGGGCAAGATGACCAATGAATACATCACCTTTGGCATGAATGGCTCCTTTCGCCATCGACCTTTTGGCATGGAAAGGGCTGCCAGTGAGATCTACATGAAGTTGTCAGTTGAAATGGTTTGAGAAATGAGTATGTTTTTTTGGAAACTAGTCGCTGAGACTTGAAAGAGTGGGAAGAAAGAAAGAAGCATCAGATACAGTTGAGGAGACAGAGCTGGGTTTTTAAAAAGTTTTATTAGAGCGCCTGGGTGGCTCAGTTGGTTAAGCGACTGCCTTCAGCTCAGGTCATGATCCTGGAGTCCCGGGATCGAGTCCCACATCAGGCTCCCCGCTCAGCAGGGAGTCTGCTTCTCCCTCAGACCTTCCCCCCTCTCGTGCTCTCTATCTCATTCTCTCTCTCAAATAAATAAATAAAATCTAAAAAAAAAAATTAAAGTTTAATTATTAGACTGTAGTTGACACACAATGTTACATTGGGTTCAGGTGTTTAACAGCGATTTGACGAGTTTATACATTGGTTTTCACTCATTATTTTGTTGGCTAGGAGGATTTGAAACAGTGAGCACGAATGAGGTGTGTGTGAATGGGGACAAGGTCAAGGACGGACTAACTGGGTGTACGGAAGTTGAACAGCCGAGGCCCCCCCACATCCCTCACCCTGGTGACGATCTCACACTAAATAAAAGTCCCTGGTTCCCATGAGGGAGAGAGAGGAAATAGCTTGGAATAACCCACTGGGAAAAACAGGACTATAGAGGCACACATCCGATGGCTGATAAGGAGGGTTTTGCTGGAAGAGCGGCACATTTTTTTAAAACTGGTGATGCCAGGGAAGAAGTACATCTGTTTCAAAATCAATGTTTCTTAACAGTTTCACTTCACACAGTGTGATTTGAGAGAGGCAGGCATATGCCTCTTTGGCATTAACCACTTAAATAACACATGTATGTTTGTGGCATTTTGATCCCCAGGCCAGATTTCTACCCTCCTGCGTATGAAGAGAGTCTTGATGCCGAGAAGCAACCTTGTCCTGCAGAGGGAGACGCCTTGGATGTGCCTCCACCTCTGTACAGAGAGATGGGCCTTGAATTTGAGGATGCAACGGATGCCCACCCTGAGGCCCCACCTTCCTATGACGAGTCTGTAGCAGGCGGGGTGCTGGCAGCCACAGCACTGCAGGATGCTGAGGGGCAGAGCCGGGGATGCTGAAGCAGGGGACACGCCCTCGTGCTCAGGATGCACCTTCATGGGCTACAGCTGCTGATAATAAACGTGGCCACTGGACTATGGGAGGGAAAGTGACTTCCGGGACCCCCAGGAGTGCTCACCGAGGAGATGCTGGGGATGACTGCCGTGCAGTTCCAACAATGTGCTTGGCCTGAAAGGGCTCCAGAAGGGTGTGGTCGGCAGCTGGCAACATTTCAAAGGATTCGCACTAATCCCAGCCCAGGTGGGCTTTGGGACTGCTTTTAGAGCTCTGCTCCAAGAGGCTTTTGGCTCTCACTCAACCCCCTGCCATCACCTCAGCCCCCAGGGGGAAGGAATAGGTGCTGCTCGTGGGGCAGCCAGCCACCTTCAGGCACTACATCACCCAACAATCGCAAAAGGAAAGCAGGCTGGAAACAAAGGGTCACTGTGGTTTAATCTGCGGGTTTTGTTGGCTGGTGTCACCGTTCTCTCCATTCGCCGTATTACCAGAGTGACACCGTAATTCGCATTGTGGGATGTGTGCTCTTGGAAGCCATGAATGTTACTTCATACTACTTAATTTTAATTATGTGTATTTTACTTCTACGTGGAAAACAACTACAATATTTCCTTTCAAAATGGCTCGAACACAAAATTTTCAATGAATATCTTAAAAACGGGATGGTTGTACAGCAGAGATGACAAGGTTTCTTGGAGACTCAAGTGGGACAGACAGAACACTTAAAATTCATAAGACAGAATTCAGAGGGGAAAACTGTACTAGTCATAAGTTGTATTAACATAGATTTTGACGTAAATATTCAAAGGCATTAAAATATCCGTGTGTATTTCAACAAATCCCCCCCCCCCAAATCTCTAGAATCTGAAAGAAAAGAGACTATATTGTAGTACTTTGATCCTTAACAGAAAATTCTTGGGGGTCTCAAGACACAGACCCATATGCATTTTTAGACTTGGGACATTTATTTTAAAAACCACTGATTCATCCTCAGCTGGATTATATTTTATTACATGTTTAAACACACGAGGACATGTTGGGTGGCAGGGCAGTGGGAAGAGAGGCAGCCTGACGCTTTAGAGCTTGGACAAGAATCTTCATCTGTCTGGGCCTCAGTTTCTTCCTCAATCAAGTGAGGAATTTATGCTATGATTGTTATCTAACAATTATGGAATGTCTTTTATATGACAGGTTCTGTGCTGTGAACTCTTTTGTGCTTTTTGTTTAGCCCTCATTATACCCTTCAGAAATAAGTGCAATGGTTAGTCCCATTTTACAGATGCATAAACTGAGACTTTGAGGCATTGAGAAACTTTGCCAATAGCGTACAGTTGTTTCCAGTAGAGGGGCATGAGTGTATTTACTTCAAACATTTGTGCTAGGTTAGCCCGGTCTTAGCTCCCTTCTCCCACGGAGCAGTCTGGACTTCTCTCCAGATTCAGAAAGTGGGCCCCATCAGGAAGTGGAGCCCCAGGATTGGTACAATACCTTACAACCCTTGGGGAAGCCAGAGAGCTTGCTCTAGCATTCTCTTTTATATTTTTTAACTTAAAAAAGACTTAAATTTTTTTCATTGTAGTTGACATATAATAGGGTTCTCTTTTAACATGTAAATACGCCCTCCATGTTTTCTGCCTAGGAGCTTGGCCCCCACCTCTTTGTGCAGTTCCCTTCTCTCTGATCATTCCATCGATGATCAATAGTGGCTCCTACTGGTGACAGGCAGCCCTCAGTGAATGGGCACGGGGGGTTTGAATAGTGGTGGCGAGGATGAAGAGCTTTCAAGGGCTGTCAAGATGGAATGGGGCCTCCATGGCCTCCTCTTCCCATTTTTGCCGAGTGCACAGATGAAGCATGTCCTGACAAATACGCAGGAAGCCACATGAAAGGAAATCCTGGGCCTTTTACATGAAACATGCATTTGGGCATCTGGGATGTGAATCCTTGACCTCAAGGGCATAACTGGATATGAAGGTCACTCATGGCTGTCCAATGGGAAGGTGACCATTTCTTAGCAATGCAATTTATTAGACATTGCATTTCTTAGCAATGCAATTTATCTCTTTCTATCCCTCTACTGAGATTGTTACCCTGAAATTTTCTCTGGGGTCTGAACACATCCATGGGCCTTAACCAACTCTGTCACTAGGCTTTCATCCAGAGTTTGCATTTGTCGTCAATGGATTTTTCCAACTTCTGGTAGTCATATGAAACATGTTATTTTTGGTTTACATAAGAAAATTGTTTTGATCTCTTTACTGCAGTAAATTTTGTACTTAAACTTCCCTCTCTTTCATCTCTGTTTTGTATCAGAAAAAAGAAATCAATAGGGGAACACAGTCAAAGTTTGATTCTCCATGCAGAACTAACAAACCATCCAGATGAGTTCATCTTTTTGAAAAACCAAACATTACTGAACTATTGATTTAAAATCAACTATTGATTTCAGAAGATAAGCCAGGTGCTTTCTGAAAAGAAGTACTACTAATAGACATTTATTGCCTTTTTGAAAACAGATGTACTCTGAAGCCACCATCAAGGACATGGGTGTTACTCCAAACAAATCCTACCTTTGAGAGGCCCAGCAATTAAAACCCGCTGGGCAAGGAACTAAAGCGTTCTGTTGCGCTCAATAAGAATTCACTGGCCACTCCTACGGTACTTAAGGAGGTCGACATTGTATCCAGTCTTCCTCTTTAAGTTTATGGTACAATTAGAGGTGATGGATGGAGAACCACAATTCCCTGCATGGCAAGGAGGGCACAGAGACTGCGAGAGAGTGAAGAGGCAAATATTCACTACAGTCTTTGCTCATTCCCTTCTCTCACACGGGAATGGTAGGCTCACCTGTCAACGACGATGGGAAATTCTCGGAGGTGACGGCTCCTCCACTATTTTCATCTTACAACCTTCCTCTGAGTGGTGGCTCTAAGTACTCCCGCCATCCCCCAGAAGGTGAGCATGATAAGGTCAGTTACAGAATACATTATGCTGCATCTTTTGCGTATCTGAGATGTAGCGTGTGTATTTTTGACCTCTCCACTCCAAAACTCGCAAGTACTTTTACTGGCAATTCTACCCATTCCTCAAGATTCTACTTAAACACAGAGTCTTCGGTGAGGTATCTCCCCAGCTTGCCCATATTGCAGGGCACGTACCAGGTGCTAAAAGTCACGAAGAAAATGATAAAGACATGGATTTATAATGCATAGCTTCATCATATTCTATAACTTTCCATGACAGGTTAGGCTGATTCACATACCAAGTGGGCTGCGAACTGCATGAGCCATTTCCACCGATAAGGGCTCCAGCTGGTGCGAGTGGGACAGGCATCCACTAAGCTCTGCTGCCTCTGATCATCTCTTGCTGCCTGTAACTGTTGAAGGGCTAAACACTGATTTACTGGCAGTTACATCATTTCGAAAGGTGCACGATTTCTCAGGCCCTTCTCCACTCGGGGAGGGAAACCTCATCAAGGCAGGTGTCTGGGATGTCAGTGTCCACGTGTTTCAAGACTACCCGATGCATGATCAAGCAATAAAATGGAGTCACCTGTTGGGCACTCCCCTCTCCCGCAGGTGCTTTTCAAATTCCCCACACCTGCCATGGCTGATGGCTATCACTGCCGAAGTAAATCCCATGCCTTACACTGACCCACAGCTGGCCAATCAGAAGTCAGCACACCATTTTCCCCGGGGATGTCTATATTACCTGCAGAGAACACTGGATCGGCACAGCCAAGCGTCAGCCCACTGTGCCGCTGTGGGACTGGTCATCGATCTGAGGCTTCCTGTGTAGAAAGCTTTCAGGAAGGGGTGCCTGGGTGGCTCAGTCGTTGTTAAGCATCCGCCTTTGGCTCAGGTCATGATCCCTGGGTCCTGGGATCGAGCCCCGCATTGGGCTCCATGCTCTGCGGGAAGCCTGCTTCTCCCTCTCTCACTCCCCCTGCTTGTGTTCCCGCTCTTGCTGTGTCTCTCTCTGTCAAATAAATAAAATCTTAAAAAAAAAAAAAGCCTTCAGGTCATGTCCAAGCCTGGTCAGCCCAAGATGCCATAAAAAACTATTTGTTCTGTGAATCCTGTGGATAGAGGCTGCACCTTGGATCAGGAATACTGGATAAACATCTCATTTTTTAAAATTGTTTTTAAATTTTTTTATTGTTATGTTAATCACCATACATTACATCATTAGTTCTTGATGTAGTGTTCCCTGATTCATTGTTCGTGCATAACACCCAGTGCTCCACGCAGAATGTGCCCTCTTTAATACCCATCACCAGGCTAACCCATCCCCCCACCCTCCTCCCCTCTAGAACCCTGTTTTAAAAATCTCACTTTAATGATGGCTGCCTGCCATGTTCAAGGTCAGCTAATGAACCCAAGAAACATGAATGAGGCAAAACAATTATTTGTTCTAAGGGACTGGCGGACCCCCGGTAGGATATTTAGAATCCATGGTCCCGTCCCCTTAAATGCCTCCCTGGCACGTATACACGCATTTCCAAACACTGCTCTGGTTGGGAACCGCTGCATTGTAGACACTGTTGCTTGTCATTGTCCTGGGGGCACACGGTGTCGCGAGTGAATCCCTCGATATTAGCCCATCACAAGAGTGGCCCGGCAGTTGCCACACTCCAACCACCCTCTCCTCTAGGATTGTCTTCTGTGGTCCCCACAAAAGTCTCGGATCTCTCCAGTCATTTACTCCTAAGAAAGACTGGTGGCTGGAGCTTCATCTTTAAGACATAAAGACCATTACGTGCAGAAGAGTGACTTCCTGCCTTCCACCTCTCCCGAGGAGAAGACAAGAGGACTAGCAGGCATAGCTCAGCCAGAGAAGCTCGGATTTTACGTAAAGCAGAAATAATACCTTGGCAATGTGAATTTGAGCAGGTTCCCGAGAGAAAGGCTGTGTCCCAGAGCCACCACAGGATCTCCCCTTGGCAACCTAGCTAAGAAAAAGCTCTGTAAAAATCGGTGGTCGTGCAGCTGCTTCTTTCTGTAGCTGGGCCCAAACGTGTGCTCCACCTGCTATTTCTACCTCTGTGCCTCCTGCACTCGCGCTCACCCGCGCCATTCTCTCCCGAGACCCAGCGCAAAGCCTCCCCTCCAGCCATCCTACCTCGCAACTCCGTCTTTGCTCTGGCTACGCGGACGCCTCGTGAAATCACATACGTAATTACAAGTCTCAGGAAACTCCACTCTTCGGGAAACCCATCAAGTGCTTAGTGTCCTGCCATCTCAGAGCTAATCCCTCTGCGTGTTCCCATAGCACACTGCTGGCGCCTCTACTAGAACATTCATGTCCTCCCGCTTCTTCGTGTATGCATGTCCTAGCCTCCTGTGTCCACATTACAAACTCCTAGGAGCAGGAATCCTGTTTTGTGTATCTCCTCGCTGCATCACAAACAGGACTCTGCAGAGAGTAGTCGTTCAACCAGTGTTTGTTGAATGAATGAATGAATGAATGAATGAATACTTGGGCGGCTGGGCACACGTGCTGGAAATAAAAAAAATAGATTTTTAAAATGTGGATTACCTTACATTTGAACTTTGAAACTAGAGATGATTCAAAGTTCAGCAACTTGAGAAGAAAACACCTATTTTCTGACCTGGAGCTAAGCTTTATAACGCATCTGACTGCATGGACCCACACAGAGCCGAGTAGTAAACGGACGGCCACCACGGACCCCACGTAAAGCTTTAAGGCAAATGACATGCATGGTTGATAAATTCCATGACTTTAGAATCTCTGCTCGAAGCCACCCTCTGTGATTATGAAACGGAGATACTTACAATGAAAGACCAGTTGCCAATTTTGTCTCTGCTGGCTCCCAAAGGCAGTTTTGAGCCATCTGCCTTTTCTGGTCCCACTTACGTAATAAATTCCCAGGTCCTAACAACGAAAGCCAGCCCTTGCCAGTGTTCTGAAAGACAGACTTATCAAAATGTGACCACCCATGGCAAGACAGACACGCAAAAATCCACAATCCATGTGTCAGGTTGAAATCAGGAATTTCTTTTTTATTGGCTACTACATGTCGGAGCAAGTTTCTGACAGAAGCAGAGATAGAAAGTGGCCACAAATCCCTTCCCAGGAACGTCTCCCTGCTTGCGCTCATCTTGACTACAGCAAAACCCCCTTGCTTCACAGTCAAAGAGCACCACGTCATCTGTGCTAATGACAGGGTGAGTGAGAGGGTCGTTCCCAAGGAAGCAAAACACACGCAAACAGGTCCCACGCACCGAGTGTCCCAGCTGGGTGCAGACAGAGGCTGCTAGAGCTGCAGTATCCTTCTCCTGGGCACAGCGAGCCGGCTGTGACCTTCTGGTTTCTGGCAGGGGTGCCGCCCTCCCCCACCCCTATCTCATCAGGTCCTTAAAGACCACCAATAAGGTCTTCTTCCAGCAAGCACTCTGTTCTCTACTTTGCTAGCATTTCATGGTCTCCTTCTAGAGCCACTGTAAGATCTGAACTGGGTCTCAATGACTGCTTTAAAACAGGCCCTTACTGGGAGATAAGGGAGTGGAGAGAAAGAGACAGAGCAGACATGGTGGTATGTTGTCTTCCCAGGAGGAATGAATATAAACCCCTGTATCACCCTACGGGGTGTTGTCAAGGGAGGACCGGTGAAATGTTAAGCATTCATCTGCAGAGTCCTGCCAGGAAATGGCTTTCTACCTGCCCAGTGAATGGCTGAATTTGAAGGAATGCAGCCGGCTTAAGAGCTAGAATAGTATTATTTACAAAACAAGAGAGGTAAACACCCTTGGATGTGTTTCGTTGAAAGTGTGCCATGGTGATCTGTAGAACGCTTCCGAAAATGTCAGAGAAGGCGGCACGGGGACTCGGCAGGGGATGGGAGGGAGGGAGTGGGCCATCCGGTGGCCAGAGGCCATGAGGAGTCCCACAACGTTCCCCCTGGGAGACTTGACCCAGGATGAAAAGCTAAGGCCTCCACCACGCCAAGGAGAGTCTTCCTCGGTCTGCCCAGCGGCACCCGGGGCATGCGGGCAGCCTAATTCTGGCACTGCGCTCTGTGCGTGAGTTCGGAACCTTTCCTCACCTAACACCACGATGGACACCTTCCCCGCCCACTTACTCTTTCTCAAAAGGTGAGGGTCCTTTGTGTGATAAAATATAGATACCAAATGATAGTGCAGCTTTAACAGACAACTGAAGACCCTGTTGCATTTGGAAGAACGGACCCAAACCCAAACAAAACAGATTTTTTTCTCTTCCCACCACCCCTCCCCCACCCACCAGCAAATTATCGTGTGTGTGTGTGTGTGTGTGTGTGTGTGTGTGTGTGTGAGTTTCAAAGTCATAAAAGGCACAAACAGGTAGCAAGAAGGCGTGGGTGAAGTGTCTCCCGCCAAGCGCTCTCTTTTGGCCCTGGTGACTGATCTTTCCTCCATTCAGGTGATGACTGTGGGGCCCCTCCGGCCGGTTCTCTCATGAATCCGGGATATTTTCAGCGCGATGGCTATAAGAGGACTCAGCACGGCCTGGAAAAGGAGGGGAAAAGTCTGTGAACAACTCACGTCAGTCACAGGAGGGCCACTGTGATTGGTTTCTGTCACAGCATCTGGATTCAACTCCAATTTGCCGCTTAAAGACAGAGTTCCCACTGGCTGGAAACCTGTTCCCTAAACCCTGGTTCCTCATCCATAAAAGGAGAGTAGAGTGGGTAGGGCGCGGTGAGGGGGCGGGCGCTAGGGGAGGAGATGGTCTCCAGAGTTTTGTCCAGCTCCCCAAAAACACCGATCTCAGACAGGAACCCACCAACTCAACTCCTAGAGCACTGGGGCATTTCAGAGCTTTGTGAATCAAGGAAGTTCAGAAAACCCCACAGTCTTCCTCTCCTACTCTCTCCCCACAGCATGTACACCCTGCCCAGACACGTACACGCACGAGAACTTGAGGGAACACACTCATTCTCCAGCCTAAGACCAGAGGCCTACAGAACCTACTATCTTGATGTTTCACAGAAGACAGACCAATCCATGGGCTAGTGCTGCAGAAATATCTACTCCTTTCTTCCCATCAAATAACACGGTGGCTCATGAGGTGCCTCCGTGTCCCTCAGAAGGAGGGGGTGTTTAGAAGCCTAGGGAGTAGATTCTCAGAAAGGCAAAGGACATGGAGAGGAGAATCATTTCCTGCCCTCTAGCTGCTAATCATTTCACAGGAGTGAGGCACTGTTTTCCAAAGTGTGGAAAACATACTCATACACACAGACGATATGGGAGATTGTTTTAGATGGTTCGTGGACATGGCATTACCTACAAAACAGTCAGAAAGTCACCCCGTTTTCCATTCTTCTTCCATCCTCTTAATTTCATCGAGGAGAAACCCTGTTGACGGCCAATCTTTAATACATGAACCCAAACAGAGCATGCCTCAGGCAAGGGTGACCTAGATGGAAGTTAATATCACCGTATATCTTAGTGAATTCACTTTTGTGAATTCAATTTTATTTATAAAGGGATACTGTTTTTTTTTTCACATAGATGCGAACTTTCTATAATAAATAAACAGATTCAAGTGAAAACAATGTAAGTCCATTTAAAGGACAAATACTAATACAGGGATACTGATGGAAGAGAAGTTTAGGAAATACTAGCAGAAGGGAAGAAACCAAGATACCATGTTGAGGAAAATAAAACCTGTCATTTTTGAGAAGGGAGAGGGGGATTCTGCTACTTGCAACCCTCCCCTAAGCCTAACAGGTACAGGGGATGAAGGGAATGCATGCATTCTAAGCAGACAACAAGAGCACAAGCAGAGGCCCAGGGTCCGAGGACCAAGCACAAGCAGGGCCGTGTGTCCTGTGAATGGAGTGTATACACATGGCAGTCCTGAGTAACAAGTGAGCAAGCCTTGTTTGGAGGGATGAAAACGCCAGGGCAAGGCATGAGGATTCAATTCATTAGGCCAGGGGACATGCTGGAGTTGTCTGAGTTAAGGGGTGACATTATCAGAGCTGTGCTTTGGAAAGACTGTTCTAGAGCTAAGTCCAGGAGTTTAACACACTTATGGCTAAATGGGTGAAATCATCTTACTCTGTGAAGATGACCAGATAGAGAAGCTCAAATATAATCTTGGAAGCTAGAAGGGAGATGAGAATCTTGAGCCATTTCATCACAAGTGCACAAGCCAACTGCACTTCCCTCTACTTCCGTATCCATGAACATGATATACAGAAACAGAAGGTTTTATGTTCTTTTAATGACACTCCTGGTGCCCAGAAAAATTTCCTACTGGCACATTTTGCGAGTTCATATTCCATGTGATGCCCATATAGGGGCATCTGGATCCCTGAGGAGCCAAGCATCCATTTTGTACGGAAATCAGATTATTAGCTTTCGTTCCCTTTCCTGTCTTCTCTTCCCTCTCCTCACACCCCCAGGTTTTTTGGGCTACATAACTCTTCATTAACACCTATAAAGGAGGTTAAATAAGGACAGAGAACAAGAATGAAGTGAAAAATCAATCACTTTAACTGAGGTCCTGGAGGGCAAATAAAGATAAACTTTATCCCATCTATTTAAGAAAATGCAGTGAAATTGAATTTAAACTTAAGAACTGAAAAATTAAGACATGTTTTGTTTCACGTCATTGTGAATTTCAAGATCAAAGACTTTCAACTCTACATCTTTAAGTGACGGTGGCTATTGGCAAGAGGGAAGGGAAGCAGTTTTAACCAGTACCGTAAACCCTGCCTGAGTTCTCGTAATGGATTTCCACCGAACTCGGAAGGTACAGCTCTGCTTTCCATTTCTTCTGTGAAACATCCTGATTGATGTCCATAGCACAGGAGCTGTCTGTGAACCAGTCCTTCTCTTTCTGATATGCTCACCTACTGCCTCCAGCAGCTGAGTTATGTGCTTATCAGGAGTCAGCTAAATTTGTTCCTCAATACGTAACACACGAGCTCTTCTGAATATGCACTTAGACTACATGTAAACCAGTGAGATATGAGTATACACAGGAAGGGTTCTTTCTATGAAAATTAAGTGGAATGTTCTGGAAAGAATTAGGTAATGGCACTTAGCTACTCCTGTGAAATTAGTATGAGTGAGATCCAGTGAAGTATTGGAGAGGAATAAAAAAAAATGTCTAGAAAATTCTTTCCTCAGATTGCTTCCCAAGTGTCTTTAAGTTCCCGCTCACTATAAAGAAATTAAAGGTGAACATTGCTGATGAAATATGAATGGGAATCTATTCAAGAAGAGATAATGACAACACAAAACAGTGTCAGGATTTTTGTGGTCCTGTTTTTCTTCAGAAATCACAGCTTTGATACATGGGAATCCCAGACTCTTCTCTCCTATCATCCACCATCCATCATGGAAAGGAGCAAGGGGAGATGAACTATCTTGAGACAACTGGAAAGGCCCTCAGAATCGGGAGTGAGACGAGGAGTTAACAATTAGAAGCCTGTGGCTGTGAGATATCTGAGGTAGAACTGGAAGCACAGAGCTTGAGAAGCAGTAGAGGAACACAGGATGATCTCGTTTTGAGATTCTCTTGTCACAGATGAGGAAACCGAAGCACAGACAGGAGCCATGAGGGGCCCTGGGGCCCGTGTCCATTTGGTGGCTGAGCTGAGAACAGAGTAACACCTCCTCTACTGCTCTTTCCCTCCCACAATCCAGAATACAAGGAATGAGAGGGAAAACAGAGTGGATAGAAGGAGTGAAGGAGGAGAGGTGAGGGAACAGTGGGACCGTCACCTACCGCACCAGACGAGTCCCACCTCAGATGAGGGCTCAGACAGGACGGACCAGCCATCCGCACTGACCAAGAACAGGAGAGCACTGCTGGTTAGATGAATGTATTAGACATTCCAAGACCATTCTTTGTGAATAAAGAGAATAAACTACTGGAGACTCTAATGAATTAGGAACGTAGCATCTTCTTTCTAGGAAGTGCTTGACACAGCTTTTCTATGCTCAAGAGTAAGGAACAGTGAGCGCCCCTTTTGTGGCAAACTGAGTTGGCAGCGCACCCACCCAACAGCGCTCTCACTTGGGCTCCAACGTCCTTCCTCCATCTTGGAGAGTCGGGAGGACATCGGTTGCCATCTCCAGGTAATAAGCCTACCAGACTAAAGAGGGATTGGGAGCCTGTCTTGACTTAAAATTTGGATGCCTTGCTTATTACGGGTTTTAACTGCATCGATTTTGATTTTTAAAAATATTGCATTGCAATACTTCATTTGATTGCTGAGGTGTTTTGGTGCCTCTTTAAATTTTGCATCTAGCTAAGCTCACCCTAGGCCCGGTCCTGTATTAGGTTTTAACCTATTCGTGTTCCCTGGAAGCACAGAGAAGGTTTTTCCTTTCCCTCTTTCTCCCATCTCCTCTTACTTTATGTTGCTGTGGTGGTGGTTCTGATCCATGTGCATGCAAATTAGGGCCATAAAAACAAACCCTAACCAAATGAACTTCCCCCGACCAGCAATGGACAGGAGAGGTGTAAATGATCTGAATGTCACAAGACTCACAGCAAATAGTTAACTGATTTTTTGGAGAAAAACAAAACCTAACTGGAAACACCATCATTTATTAAGCCAGATTTGTCAGAATTTGTGGAGGGAACCCAGCGCTGGGCTGGCCTTGAGGAGGAGGGAGCATTCGGATGGTCAGGAATTGTGGGTGCAGGGAGGCGGTCGCGGGATAATAGTGCTTATCCTAGCTCCTCATCCGGGGCAGATAATACCACCCAAGAGAAGGCAGATCACTCACCAGCAGAAGACACAGACCTTCTAGGGCCAAGAAAATAGGAATTTATAACAAATGCCACTTTCTCCTCATTCTTAGGGGTAGCTTGCATCAACGCCCCCACTGAACGGCCTGACCTCCTCTCATGATTTCATTCCAACATTTGGTTTTAGTCTATATGCTGTTTGCTTAGTTTAAGGCAGTGGTTCTCGAACTTCAGCATGCATCAGAATCACCGGGGCGGTCTGTCAAAGCGCAGACTGCTGATCCCCTCCCTGAGCTCCTGATCCAGGAGGTCTGAGGTAGGGCCCAAGAATGTGCCTTTCTAACAAGGTGCGGGTGATGCTGATGTTGGGGATCCAGGGACCACACTTTGCAAACCGCTACTCTAAGGCGTGCTGATTCCTCTACCTGTCTAAGTTCTTTGCTCCAGCCCAAGGCTCAGTTTTCTTGCTTGCATCACACAATTCCACCCCCTGGCCACAGTTGACTGGACCAGGAGTGGGTCCCTGACCTTTAGGCAGCCATCAGAGGCTGGCCAGCAACCTGCCAGACGGCCAGGGACAAAACTTGAACCAGCTGATCAGATTCTTTCCCTCAGGGGTTAAACTGATAGGTAATGAAAGAATGAGCCAGGTAGCAGTGGGAGCCAAATTAATCACGAGGTTATAATTGATTAACCATGAGGGTATAAGGCGCCATGGTAATCCAGGGGTTGTAAGAAAACAGGGACTCTGAGAAAGATGACAAAAAGTTACAAGAAAGCGGAAAGAAACCAG